CTATGCACATCTTCCGAAGTGACAGTCCAGTCAGGCCCTTGGTGAAGTCAGCTGTGTCTCCACCGTGTCCTGTCACAAGGAGGAAAGACTCTTGCTCAACTTATTCAAATGACTATGTTGCCTGGAAAATAAAATACTAACCATTTCCAGATTCTGTAGGAATCCAATAGGGAGGGAAATTGTTTCATCTCCGTTCACAAACATATACCTAACCCAACTGTCGTGAGCTACAGATAATTTAGGAGGAAATAAAAAATGTTACTTAAATCTGCGAAACATTAAAGGAAAAGTGATGTTTCTTACAACAAAGCCATAAAGAAACAATAACTATTCAGTGTATTCAGCTGCTTCTATCTATTTCTTGTTCTGTAGTAGTATGGGGGTTAGAGTTTAGGGGACCAACTGTTTCTTCCCTAGAGTTCTAGAAACTCCTAACAGGTTGGTTGGTATGATCTTGTCACAGGAAAGTGGGGGTTGAAGCTCCAAATCTCAGTTCTTGTGTCCCAGTGAAAGAAAATTCAGACCAATGTGAAAAGTCAAGCAAGAAATTTTATTAGGAGTGAAAGTGGAGCCAGGTTCAAGCAGAGAACACTCGAGAGCTTTCATCACCATATACTAACTAGAATTCTCAACGCTTAGTAACTAATTTTTAGAAGCTTGTGTTTCCTTGCAGTTGAATTTTCAACGTGGCCCAAGATATGTTTGCTGACAGATCCAGTAACCGGAAACCCAAAGTGGGTAACTCGTGTTCAACAATTAAAGCTTTAGTATTGGATATAGACATGACCTAGATACCCAATGACTACCCGTCAATCAATTTAATGAAGCAAAACTCTTAGGGTTCAATTTACCAAACAAGCAAACAAAGATAGCCATAATCAAGCTTTCTGTCGGATATGTTCATGTCATGTCAATAAAACTGTATCTGCGGTTATATTTAATCCCGACACTCTGAAGTAATACCTGTTTTCTCTTCTTTTCTTTTTTTTTTTTTTTTAAAGAGAGAGTGAGGGAGGGAGAGAGAGAGAGAGAGAGAATTTTTTAGTTTTCGGTGGACACAACATCTTTGTTCGCATGTGGTGCTGAGGATCGAACCCAGGCCGCACGCATGCCAGGCCAGCGCGCTACCGCCTGAGCCACATCCCCAGCCCAATACGTGTTTTCATTAAGCCAACAAATCTAACTTTTATATACTGAGGATTATTCGAGATCATGAGATCTTGAAATACATTTTGGGTTAACTCCCATTTTTCTAAGAATTTAAGGAGTACAGATGTTTCTCAACCTATGATTGGGTTCCAAATAAACCCATCCTAAGTCGAAAACTCCATAAGTTGAAATGTACTCAGGACACATACTTACTGAGTATCATAATTTAGCAAAATGACTGACTGAAAATTGTCCTTACGCCAAAGACGCAAGTCCTGGAGACCAGCCCAGCTAGATGGGCAGCTTTCCAACCCAGCTTGTTCTTTCTAACTAGGCTATGGAGTTGGGGTGCTGCCTATTAAGGCTCTCCTACCAGGACTCAGCACGAAGAGGCCAGACTGGCTTGCCATGTTTATAATATCGAGTGACAGGCCTGGCAGGATGCTGCGATCATCTTTCTCTGGCCAACCTGTTCTACCACTAGGAGTTTATTCATGAGGTGGCCAATGATGTGGACACAGAAGATCAAGCTTCAGGTTGTGTTTGCAGGGACAGGCTTAGGGATACCTAAGGGACAAAGAAACCTGGGGGCCTAAGGCATGGGGAAAGGTGATTGGCAGCCTGGGCGTAATAATCAAGCTTCATAGGACCCACGCTCACCAAATGGCTCAGCAAATGGCAGTGTTTGCAAGCTCTGAGGATGGAGTTCAGTCCCTATGACACCAAAAGGTCATGCATGAGATTCAAGCACAGGCCCAAGTGAAGGATGGGTGGGTCCAATAGGTTTGTACTATCAAGTTGCTGAAAAGCATCTCAGGCAAACTTTACCATCATGATCCATACATACGACAGAGCGTCATCCACAGCAAAGCTATTGGGAGAGTGCTACAGCTAAGTGGCCTCTGGAGTTGGTAACAGGGCAAGCGACTGAAAGCAAGTGACCTGCAGGTTCACTGGGTTCGGAAACCTACACACCTACTGACTAGAGCCTCAGAGGCAGGGGTTCCAGGTTCCCTGGATCTAGATGAACCCAGCACCGCTGTCCTCTGTCACCATCCCTACAAGAGGGTTCCCATGGGACCCAGCCCGGCTCCCATAGCAGCAGTACAATATAGCACTGCTTTTGTTGAGATTCACATTCCCAGTTCAGATAAAAACTGCTCAAATAAATTCTGAGAACTCACCACAAGTTATAGAACTTGTTCCAGCCAATGGCAAGTTCCAAATGCTTAGGAAGAAACAGTGACCACAGCTCAGCACATGAAGTAGGTTTAGTATGCACCAATCACAAATGTGTGTGAATCCAGAGACAGAAACACTCATGTAATGAGTTACTTAAAGTGGTTTATTACCAATAGACAAGCAGCCCTGGACAAAAGCAGCCTAGGATCCATTGTGGGCCAGTCCCCAAAGCTCAGAAAGCTGCCTGGCAAGAGGATCTTGAGTTTAAAGCCATCCTCAGCAATTTACTGAGGCCCTAAGCAATTTAGCAACATCCTGGCTTTAAAAATAAAAAAGGGTCAGGGATGTGGCTCAGGTGTTAAGTTCCCCTAGGTTCAATGCCTGGTCTTTAAAAAAAAAAAAAAAAAAAACCCTGCCTGAGGCAGAAGAAATTTAAATTGTACACACTGGGCTGGGGATGTGGCTCAAGCGGTAGCGCGCTCGCCTGGCATGCGTGCRGCCCGGGTTCGATCCTCAGCACCACATACAAAGATGCTGTGTCCGCCAAATACTGAAAAATAAATATTAAAGTTCTCTCTAAAAAAAATAAATAAATAAATAAATAAATAAATTGTACACACAGATGAGGGTCCCAAAGGCAGCCTGCTGCCCATCTCAGGGTCACACCAGTCGGGGAGCTCAAGAACTGAAGGACAGCCCACTTCTAAGGGAGGACAGAACAGTGAGTCCCTCTCTACCTCAAGATATTACATTCCCAGGGAGTTCTGCAGTTAATCTTGAGCATTATAAGCAAGAAAGGGTCAAGAAATGGGTCAGTCCAAGGCTACCCAGAGAACAGTCATGCAGTGAAACACCGAGGCCTATTTACTCATTTCTCCTAGGGGCTGTGCATGGTGAGGGGTGTGGACAGCCTCACATCCCACTTCTGACACTAGAACTGTTTTTTAAAAAAAGAAATCAAAGTTTATCAGAATTTATGTGAGTAAAAAACAATTCATGAATGCAGCAGCATGTGGAACTGCAAGAGCTMTGAGGAGCTCATTTCTGCAGCAGGAAGTAAGATTCTACAGGCTACAGGCCTCACAGACAAAGCCCAGGAATCACTGCCCTGGCAATAGCTAGGCATGGGCCATATTTGGGTGCCATCCAGTGAAAAGTCCCCAGTGGGGAGCTGGCTGGCACTCTCTGACTTTTGTTTTATTGATTACATTGAATTGGGTTTTGATTTGCTTAAATTGGAGCTCCAGTTATAGACAGGCTAATGATCTCCTTCCTTTAACACACAGCTCTCTGAATTTGAGGGGAAGCTGAAGGGGTCCAGCACCCCCAACAACAGGTACATGCCTAGAAGCCACCAACATAGGACTGACCAAGTAACCAAGACATGGTCCTTCCTCCTGGGGCAGCAGGGCCAGCTGCAGTCAGACAGGAAAATGATGGCCTGGCCACCGCAGCAGCTCTTCATTCGTCCTGTGCTGACCAGCATGTGGCCCACTCGGTGCCAGGCACTGTTCTAGGCACCTCGGACAAGGTGGGCCAGTGAAGTCCCTGCTATCCAAAGCCAATTCTAGTGGATGCTGAACATATAGGAAGTGATGTGAGTTTTACAAAGACAGGCCACAGGGGTGCCCGGACACCCTGTTAGGGGACCGCTAGATCACGTGGGCAGAGGAAGCCACGCTTAAGAAAGAGTGCCTGGGTTAGACTAGTGATGAGGAGCCTATCAAATAAAACACAAAGGTGTGGCCCAGTCGGGGGAACCAGAAGCTCCAAGTGCTTCTGGTGCAAGCTGCTCATTGCTCAATTTTCAAGAAACGGGTACTGCGGGTCGGCACGTTTTCGGTTGCTGCCCAACACCTGAGGCTGCGCGGAGCGTKGGTAGCGCTCCTCCAGGCCCCGGRCCGCACCTGTCGAGGCCTCGAACTAGGGAGGGGCCGGCAGGCCGAGCAGCCCCAGAGCGCGGGCGGCAACGGTACCCTTGCACTCCCCAGGGTGCTACCTCCAAGCACCACCGACTTGAGCCGAGGAAACCGCAGGGCCAGCCCACCCCGGCGAGGGCCCGGCCTCGCTGCCACGTTCCTGGCAGGAAGACGTCCCCGGCCCCCGCGGGGGGCTCCAGGCACACAAAGGGGAATGTTCGCCTCCCGGTCCCGGCGTAAACGGGCTGTCTGCCCGCAGGACCCGTGGCCCTCCAGCTCCTGACCCTCCGACCCAAAAGCGCTGGGCCAGAGCCGCACGTGGGGAGGCCGCGGGCCAGACGGAGACGCGCCGCCAAGCACGCGGCCCCGGGGTCTGGGGCACTCACGAGCCTCGGGCACCTTCCGAGACGGGCGCCTGGGACCCAGACCCCTAAGCGACCCAAAACCCGGCGGCACCGCGGTCACGCGCGGAATCTTGGGAGGCCCCCCCCCAGACGCCATCGCGGCCCCACCGGCCGCAGCGGAAGCGGGCGCGCGGTACCCCGCCGCGCTTTCGTCATGTTGCCGAGCACCTCCGGAGAACACGAAAACAATGTGAATCCCCTGAGCACGGCCGCTCGGACGGCGGCAGCGCGTCGGAATGCGAAAAGGAAGGCCAACGTGTTTTCCATTAGCTGAAACGGCTACTGGCCCTGGCGAATCTGCCACTACCCTCGCCGGAAGTGCGGCCCTCCTGCCGGAAGTCGAGCTTTCTCCATTTTGTGGCCCGCCATGGCGGCGGTGTTAAGGTTGCGGCCGGGATGCGGCGCCTTTGACTGAGGGGGTAGGCCAGGCGAGCCATCGGGGACGTCGCGCGGAGCAGCAAAGGACCGGCCCGGACGTCGGGGACGCTGTCATGTACGGCGCGGGCGGGGGCCGCGCCAAGCCCGAGAGGAAAGGCGGCGCGAAGGAGGAGGCCGGGCCCGGTGGCGCCGGCGGCGGGGGCAGCCGAGTGGAGCTGCTGGTGTTCGGCTATGCCTGCAAGCTGTTCCGGGACGACGAGCGGGCCCTGGCCCAGGAGCAGGGACAGCACCTCATCCCCTGGATGGGGGACCACAAGCTCCTGATCGACAGGTCGGTCGCATCCCCCACCCGCCGCCCCTGCCGCCCTCCCCTCCCCCGCCGCGGGTCCGCCTGGCGCCGACGTGGGGTCCCGGCGTCCGGGGGGCGGGATCGCGTCGCCCGCCCCAGGGCTCCGGCTGCAGCCGGCGTCACGCCCGTCGCCGAAGGGATCGTCTCTGCCGCGCCGCGCCGCGCCGCGCGTCCCGGGCGGCCGCCGGCCACGACGCCCGGTGGAGCCGCGGGGTCGGCGCCGCTCGGCGCCGTGCGGCGATCGCCGGGAGCGCGCTTTTGTTCTCCGCGACGCCGCCCTCGGACCCCGCGAGTTAGCCTGCGGCCGCCCCGGCCAGCAGGACCCGGGCGCCGCGAGCCCTCCCGGGCGGTGGGCGAGACCCCGCGCGGCCGACACCCTGCCGCAGCGGCGTCCCTGGGGCTGGGCCGCCGCGGGTTCTCTTCCAGTGTCACCGCCCGGGGCGGCGGAGGGCCGGCTGGCGGCCGAGTGTGTGGTTGGAAAGGGCGACGTACGTGCTGTAGGGTGTTTGCTCCCCGCTCGCTTCCCTCCCTCTCCCCGGGGTGCTGGGATGTCCCTGCCGCTCGGGCAACACTACTTCTGGGGCCCGGACTGAAAGGCTAACCGTGGAATAGTCTCTCCAAGTGAAGGAAGCCATCGTTTGAGACGATTAGAACTGGATTCTGCAAAGCCCTGGAACCTGACTGTAGGGATGACCTCTGAGCTGCCCAGAATGGACACAGTAATGACCAAATAGGCCTTTTTCCGTCCCTGACATTTCCATTTGGAGGTAGAGCTAGGAAACAAGGACTCCGAGAAGGGAGGGTTGCAGATCAGATCGGCTCTGGATCTGATGCTCCACGCTCTGCTCAGACATGCTGTGCCTTTGAACTGCCATTTCTATGGAACGATGTTGCCTGAGCTCTCGGGCTTGCTTTCCAAAGTGTGACTTGTAATGTGCATTATTAAAGTTCGGTGAGCGCTGGTGTCTCAGCTCTTCATGCAGTTTCCATGTCATTCTGTACATGATTTGACTTAGGTCTCTCAAGACTGGTGGGGAGCAAACACTACACATGTAAATGTGTAATATTTTTAAATAATAATTTATATTTGTAAGTTAAGGAGGTTTACATTAAAATAAATCTAATTTTAAATTTTAATAAAATGCAATAATTTGGGTTCCCTGGTATTTTTGCCCGCCCCCCCATTAACTTGGTCACCATTACAAAAGTCAGCATTAAAAAATCAGGCAGACTTTTGTTGCTTAATATTTGCTTCTGTGACCCAAAATCTGAGTATTTTAAGTAAAAGTAACCGACTCACTCGTTTTCTGACAGTTGTACGTTGACAGCATTTTCATTGAATCTTTTCGTGTTAAAAGTATAACAGAAAGTGCTTTTCTTGTCCTTGGGTTGATGAGGGACCTATTGGTCCATGCCAGAGAAGCATGGATGTGTCCTCATCTGTGTTATTTCCTGGGGTATCAAGTTCAAAAGGAAGTACTGACATGCGTCTTCTAATGGTTTTTGCCTGTTCCAGTGAACCTCCCTACACTGCATGTATATGTCGCTGTTCCTATGTATGTGTGTCTCTCTACCACGTAACCCAGCACTTATTTCCTCAGCCAAGTGGCTAGGGGCGAGAGCCTAGCCAAGATTTTACCTTCCATGGACGCAAGTTTCTTTGATGAAGATCTCTCCTGAGAGTTCGGGACTAGCAGAAAGAAGCGAGGAAATTTCGACCGTTTGGTTCTTACGGATAGGTATTTATGTATTCGGTTTGTGTGAATGTAAGCTATGATATTTAACTTTTCAGAAAAAAAGTTTTTTGTTTTTTTGTTTTTTTACAAGTGGCATTGAATGGTTAATCAAACCATGCACGGTAAGAACTGCTAGTGAGGCAGATGCCATTTACACTTTAAAGGATTGTCTGCCTTTAATTATGAGTTTTATCGTGCTATACAGTGGAGTTACACTTTTTTAAGATAACTTGAGTTAAACAGTAGGAGAAATGACTAGCCACATGAAGTGTAAGTCTGAGCAGTTTTGCATTTCCCTTAATACTTTTACTTTATTATTTTAATCGGTAAGTACACACATCGAGTGCCACACTCCACCAGCCTAGGCGGTAACTTCTGTGTGCTGACCAGTGTATTCGCATTACAGATACGATGGGCGTGGTCACCTGCATGACCTCTCTGCGTATGATGCCGAGTATGCCACTTGGAACCGAGACTACCAGCTATCTGAAGAGGAGGCGCGGGTAGAGGCGCTGTGTGATGAAGAGAGGTATTTAGCCTTGCATACGGACTTGCTTGAGGAGGAGGCAAGGCAAGGTACTGCTCAAGAAAGACTTATTTCAGCCACAACTTTAAAATTTTTTAAGTATTTAAAAGTTTACTCCCATTCATTTTTTTATACTCACTCTTTCTGATATTATCTTGACAGTACCCAGTGGATTGGAAAAACAGGAGTCTTTGCGTTCTGAGAGGACCTCAGGATAGTTTATATATAGAGCCACAAAGAATTTTCCCAGCTTTTGAGGGCAGACTGGGATTTGAAAAAACAAAAACCAAACTCTTTAACTGTTCTTCTTTAACAGTATCGTATGAATTAAAATTGATGTTCTTGTCTTTGCCTTAACGATCTTTAATACAATTCTTAATCCCAAAATTTTCTCAGCAGGAAGAAATTTTCCACAAAAGATGTGTATTCTGCTTTCTGTGGGTAAACACTTACTGGCAAAAGTATATATTGATAGACATGAAGTGTGCGTTTCTAGAAACACTTTTGCCTCAAAAGAAGGTTGAAAAAATGTGTTGTTTGCTTTATCGATAGCTACAACTTTAGAAATATATGAAATTTTTCTCAGTAAGCTTCYATTTTTGTTAACAAAGTTCTTGTTTTTATTCAAGAGGAAGAATACAAGCGGCTGAGTGAGGCGCTGGCAGAGGATGGGACCTACAGTGCCGTGGGTTTCACTTACGGCAGTGACTATTACGACCCATCCGAGCCAACGGAGGAGGAGGAGCCTTCAAAACAGAGAGGTGAGCCGCCCCGACTAGAGCGCCCCGAGCTTTCGTTGGGCTCCTTCTGGTGGGGTGGATCAGCACTAGAACATGAACTGCCAACAGGCAGGTTGTGAACTCAGACTCGTTTTCTGCACTGGATCCAAGTTGCCTGCCCAGGCGGGGGCGACAGCAGATTTCCTCTGGATCCTGTTTCTGGATTGGTAGTACTTGTGGATGTTCTTGCCGTTGTCTGGCAGCAGTAGCCTTTCCTTCACGTGGCCTGCTTCTGATTACCTCTCATAGCTGACCTGATGACCAGTGTCCAGTGGAAAGACATCCCTGGAGTTTGTTCACATAGCACAAGATTAAAGATTTCATATGTGCCTTCCTGGATTAACTTTGGGAACTATGAATATACAAAACCATGCTACAAAGAAATCCAGGCTCCTCTAATACAGCAGGAAATGTCCTTGTCACTTTGTAAGCCCTGGGAGCACCATTACCAATTTGTCACTGCCATCCGCAGTTGTGTGAACTAGAGGCATTAAGGACAAGTTGCTTACATGTAGGGTATTCTGTTGCAAAGGAGAACTTTGGAAACCCATTTAGATGTTGAACAAATTGGATCACATCCTACAGAGACTTAATGTCAGAGCTAACTGAGTCTGTTATTTGGGACTTGATTGGTTTCTGCTTAAGTAATACTCATGAGGCGTCGGAGCAGTCGAGTGCTAAAGCAGCTGTGTGGGGGGCCTCCCCAGCCATCCACTGAGGAGTGGTGGCCATGGAGGAGCAGACCAGGCACGCAGGCACTCAGGCTTTCCTTCCACCTCATACTCATCATCTGGGCAAAAGCGTCACAYGCACAGCTCTGTTTGGGAACATGGAGAGAGACCCTCCAAGTGAGATCATGATGTGCTGAGCTCAAGACTAGTGGAGGAACTTAGCAGTTTGCATTGGCTTTGAAACCTGATAGTCCCTTTAGTGATCATCGTGATGTGCTGGAAATGTTGCAGATCTAAGAAGTAAATGTGCATTTATCCAGATTAAGCTATTCTTGGAAAGTTCTGGATAGTTCCAATGCAGTTGTCTCTTCTCTGGACCACATCCATTATTTCAGTTTGAAACGCATAGGGTTTTTACCAGAAGGCAAGAATACCAACATTTCACAACTGAAGAATTAAAATGTGTAAAGGCCTCATTGTCTTTTATGGCAATAATCTTTAGAAGAGTCCTTTACATTAACTTCCTAATATTCCAGATCAGGCACAGGCAGCCATGACTGCAGGCCCAGTTCCTGGGTTTGTGTCTGTAGGATTTCATCAGAACAGCTGAGCTCTTTTGTTCTGTCTGCTGCCAGTTGGGGCTTTGGCAAGCATGTGGCTGAGGTAGACCCTGGGCCCACAGAGCCATTTCACAGTTGTCCTYCTGTTCTAGACGTTGAGCCATTGTTTCAATGTAATTATTGGGCTGAGAGATAATAGACTTTGTTACACTTTCTAAATTTTGCAAACAGTRTATTTCTTCACTTTGCCTTCTGTTAATACAAAATACTCTTTATAAGTGGTTATTGGGCTCCTGGTTATTGGCATTTTATGTTTAATTTGCACTAATATAAATAAAACACCACCCCCAGCACACACAAACACCCTGAAATGGGATTCATTTTGGTGCCCAGAACCATTAGCAACCAAGTTGAGTGTTGTTTCTGTTTCCAGTATGGGGGACTGAACTTAGGGGCACTCACCACTAAGCTGCATTCCCATCCCTTTTTATTATTTGTTTTGAGGCAGGCCTTACTAAGCTTCCTAGAGTGGCCTTACACTTGTAATCTGGTTTGCCTCCTGAGTGGCTGGGGATCATAGACAGGGGCCACTGCACCTAAAGTAGAAGATAAAATCAGATTTTTCCATGTCAGCAGAATCTCTATATATTCCTTGGTTTTTAAAATAACTTACTTTAACGCCTTTTAGTACCTGTAACCCTGTGGTGTCAGCCAAAGGCGCTTTGACGCCTCTGTTTCTGCCTGACCTCACCTCTCCTCTCTCATTAGCACAGTATTTTTCATCCGGGTCACAGTTTATTGTCGTTAAAGATCCTTTGTTTTTAAGTATTTTTTCCAGTTCTGGGGCTTGAACCCAGGGCCATGCACGTGCTAGGTGCGTGCTCCAGCCGTCTGCCACATCCCAGTTCTGCATGTGCATGTTCTGATAAGAAAAGGCTATTGGAATATGTGAGTCTGTGTTGCAATGGTAGATTTTTACTTTGTGCCACTGAAAATAAAGGCCTGTATGAGAACAGAATGACCCATTTGACCTGTCTATCCCAGGGAAGGCCTTGACTTTTCCACATGTCTTAAGGTTACAAAAAAGCTATTTGAAAAGACAGACTTTTAATTGCTTTTTTTATTTTTGAAAAAGAATTGTTTTAAACACATACCCCTGGCCTCCTTCTCAGAAAGGTTCTGAGGAAGCTTAGCTCAGTTGTCACTTGCTTTTTCCCAGTGGAAGATCTCACAGACCTTGGTTTCTGCTGCCTGCAGCTCCACTCTGTTGTTTGGCTGCTGGAGCTAGACAATGGCCCTGCCAGACATGGGGGTTTAGGCAGTAGTAGCTCTGCCCTCCACTCACCCTGTCCTTAGTGTGTGCAGAAACAGGTGGGGCACAGTTCATCCTTTGTTACAGTTGACTTGCATCTCAGGTGAGAACCCCAAGTGTCACCTACAGGGATGCCTGCTCACAGCTCCCCTGGGTTCACTGAGGAATTAGACTTGAAGAGATGTTGGCAGATTGTTGACTTAAGAGGCTGCGCTACGTGTCATGAGAACGTTTATTTAGATGAGGATTTAGTGTTTGGTTCTTTTATCACTTTTTTGGGAGTAAAAACCGAAGTAAAAGTTGAAATTCATTAAAATGTGTTTTTTTTTCTAATTTTGTGCTGATTTTTGTGCATTTCATTGTGTCCCTTAGATTGATAGTCATCTGAATTGTTGATAAATTGGAATATCTTAGAATTCAAGAAGTTTTAATTGTAAGGCACCTTATCTAACACATAGTAGGCAGATATGGATATTAATAATGAGTAGAATTGAAGTGATACATCTGACTGTGGGGAAAGCAGTAGTTTGCTTGGGTGGAGAAGTCATGATGTTGTTGTTTAGGTTTTTAGGATGATCAATGTTGGGTTGTCCAGGGGGTGGTCACCTTGTCTTGTACGTAGTGCCCCAGAGTCTGTAGGAACAGTGCCAGTTCAGTGCAGATGTGTGTGGCAGGGAGGCTGGGCAGCACGGAGCAAGGACTTTGGCCGAGAGCCTGCTCCAGTGTTCTGCTCTGGCTGAGGTCATATGGGTTGGCTCACACCTCACATGGCCCTTGGAAACCAGAGCCAGGAAATGGCAGGGTTGGGACTGAGGCTGGCAGGATCATCTGCACCACCCGCCTCTTGGGAACTCATTATGTGAGTCTGCTTCAACATGGTGGGATCCTCTCCACAGTGTTTCAGTTGGAGCCACAGAAAGGAAGAGCCTATCGGTGCTCTTCCCTGAGTACTGCATGCTGTTGGCAGGAGCCTTCTTCCYTGATTATTGTTCTGAAGGTCTCAATTTTCTTTTTTTAATAGAAAAAAGCGAGGCTGAAAATTTGGAGGAAAATGAAGAGCCTTTCATCGCCCCTCTAGGACTGAACGTCCCATCTGACGTGGAGTTGGTACGTATTCTTCTGCAAGCCTGCTGCAGTGGGTGGCCACTTGTTCTTCAGTGCTGTGTGTGAGGGCACAGTGACAGTGTAGCTGCCTTTCCACTGAACCAGGTTGCAGTCATTTGTGAGTTAATGGGGAAAAAGGCCACTTCCTGCTTGCTTTCATTTGAAAGAATGATGAAGGGATTGTAGCAAAATAACTAGGGTAGCGTGTCAGCACGTTGCGTGGACCCCAGGGGCTGTGTGGTCKAGAACCGTGATCTGGACAGCGTGGCCGGCATGTCAGAGTTGGCAGAGWGTGTGCCGAGCACACACTGGTGGAGGCTACACACTCAGGGCAGCGTTGCTCAGTGCTGTGCGTCCTTCCAACTTTTCCTGGTGTGGTTTTGTGGGCTCCTGGCCTTGGCTCTACATGTTCTGGGTACTCACCTCCRTCGTGAGTAGCCCTGCACTGCAAGTCCTCTGTAGCTGGTTGCTGTTGGGTGGAGTCTCCAGGATGGCCTTGTCTCAGCCCGAGGCTTCAGTTGCACCTTGTTGAACTCAGGTCCAGTTACAGTGGCCTTAAAGCCAAGCCAAGGCTACTACTTGAGGGATCTCTGTATTCCAGCGCTGTGCCAAGCTGCTGCTTGTGGGTCTTCTCATTTGGTGCTGATAGCCCTCTGGGATAGCGTTGCAGATGAGAAACAGACTTAGGAAAGTCAAGAACTCTGGCTCATGCAGCAGGCAGGAGCCTACAAGTCTCCTTATTGTATTAGGGGTGTTTGAATGTGGAAAGTTTCCCAAGTGCTCATGCACAGCCAAGAACTTGCCCTTGCCTTGCCCTTGCCCTCTGCAGCTGAGCTGCAGGTGCTGCACTGCGGGCCCTCCAGGCCTTATCTGTGTCTGGCAGAAGACAATGTCTCTTAATCTCTGCAGTGTGTTGATCTCTGCATGTGTTGCTGCACTGCCTCTGAAGTTCACAGCAATGTGACAGTTCTTGTGTTTTTTCCTACCCCCTATCCTGTGACCAAAGGAGATGATTGCCCTCAGTTCCCGCTCAGGCCCAGTGTCTCTCAGGGATTTGCTCATGTCTCCAGCTCTTCCCAACATGGGCTGTATCTCTGGGTTTTGCCTCGGGTCAGAGCTGCTCAGGTTTGCTCCTGTTTCCAGCTTGTGACTGTTGTGCTGAGGTCAGAGCTGAAATGTCATGTGCAGACTGATGACTAATGTCCCCAGGCTCCCATCAGCAGGCACTGGCCTTGTTGGCATGTCCTGGGTTCCTGAGTGATCACTCTGCAGGAGAGACCCACCAAAATTAACCCTTGAATATCACATTTGCTGTGTTAGCTACAATTCATACTAAAAGCATTTGCTTGAGGCTGACTCTAGGGAATGTCACTTATTTTTGTATGATTTTTAAAGTTTCTATATAAATATAAACTTAGAAGTATGACAGAAATTTCTTGCTTTAATTCCTATTAAAATATTTAATGGCTGTTGGAATCCTCAAGAACCAAAACACCTGCCACCCAGAGGAAAGCAGGAGTGGCCTCCGCGAGAAGCACAGGCTCTCGAGGGTTAGTTTCCTCCAGCGTCCTCTCAGAGGCCCCTGGAGTGCAGGGTTTTGCCATGTGGGTGCTTGGTTGAGTCTCGGCTTGGCGTCTTCCGTCCGTTTCCTTTGTGGCAGCTCCTTGTTCTTCAGTCATTGTGGTTTCTGACATAGACTTGTTGTATAAACTGCACTGTTGGTAGGAAACATGGCGTGGAAGGCCATGCTGGCCTGTGGTGGCCGTGTTGTGGAGGCCATGCGGGGCGTGGTGGCCGCATCATGGAGCTGTGTGGGGCTGTGGTGGCCTGTGGTGGCCGTGTCGTGGAGGGCATGAGAGGCTGTGGTGGCTGTGTCATGGAGGCCATGTGGGAGGCCGTGCTGGCCTGTGGTGGCTGTGTCGTGGAGGGTGTGCGGGGCTGTGCTGGCAGGGTGCTGGCTGACTGTGCGTGGAAAGACTGGCCTGGATTCAGGGAGCCACTGGGTGGGTGTGACTTGTTGGCAGGGAGGTCAGGCAGTTGGCAGAGAAAGCAAGCGCTTTGGGGGGTTCTTGCTCTTAAAAACCTGATGATGTCACAGCACCTGGTGGCTCTGCTTGCCTCCTGCTTAATGCTCCTGTGCCACCAGGAGGGATCCCACATAGCCCTTGGCCCCTGACAGCTGAGCCTATAGACTGAAGTCCCCTCAAGTGATCTGATGCCTTTATTTTAGCCTTTTATAATGACTCCGTGTGTGTGTGTGTGTGTGTGTGTGTGTGTGTGTGTGTGTGTGTTTTGTGGGAAGTGGGACTTACATTTCTTCCAGATGTGTAACTAGGCAATGGTGTCTTGACATGGCATAAGTCACTGTCTTTTCCCAGGGACCTAGACACCCATCTGTCCCAAGTTCCCTGCATTCAGGCCAGCCCTCTGGACCTTCTGCAGGGCTGTGTGTGCTGTGCGGCTGGCTGTGGGGAGAGCCTGTCACTTGGCCCATCCTTGCCCACCTATCTCTTCACTCTTCTGAGACACTGCAGATGGCACAGAGCCGGAGCTCCTAAGCCACTGTTCAGTCATGGGACCCAGAGCTCTTGGTGGTCAACAGTGTGTTCAAGTGTGCTTCTAGGGGACTGGGTCTCAAGAGCAGGGCAGGAGTGGGGGACTTGATTTAGATGGCTACATTTGTGGCAGCTCAGGGAAAGGTAGCTCGCAGCAAGCCTCATTGTGCATGCTTCATACCAGGCCCTGTGCAGAGTGCTTCTGAGTTGCTGCTTGCAGTCTTGGTTCACAGTAGATACAGCTGTTGCCCATTTTCCAGATGAGGAGCACAGAGGTGTAAAGCAAGGCGGGTAGAAACTGCCYTCAGCCGTGCCAGTCAGGCCTGGGGTTCCAGCAGGCATAGCTCTGCTTCCCTGTTTGGCTGCCGTGTGGAAAGGGGTAGGTGGGCGGGGACAGAGGCTAGTGTGCTCCTGTGGAGCTAGGGCCTTCTCTTTTGGTGTGTGATGCTGCTGTGTGTGTGGATGGGGCTCTTGTTCCACTGCCTCAAGGGTCTCTCCCCAGTGCCTTGTCTTGGACACTGTGTGGCTCTTTCCTCTCAGTCTGTGCTGCTGATGGCATGGTCCCTCTTTATGGTTGCAGGGTTTTGAGGCTTTCTTTGAATGCTTTCCCACTGAAAATATTTTCCTGTATTTCCTGCTGTTTTGTAGTTTTGTTTTACATTTGAATTGTGACTGGATCTGGGATTTATTTGGGCCTGAAGGCAAAGCAAGTATTTTGGGTTTTTTTTCCCATCCCCAATGGAGAAGGCAGCCTGGCAGCTGCCCCTGAGGTTCTTCTCTTGATCCCCACCTTGCTCCCTATCCCTTCTCTTCTCCTGCCACRTAGTCCATAGTTGCCCATGACTGAGGGTTTCCTGACCTTAAATGCCCCCATCCTGCTCCCAGGACTGGCTCTGCCTCTGAATTCTTGCCAATGTGTCAGAGGAGAGAGCAGGTGACCACAGCCTTCCTCTCAGCTCCAGGCTTTCCCAATAGAGGGCTCCCCTGGGGTTCAGAAGGGAAGGACACCCCATTTATCAGGTCGTCTCTGGGACACACATTTACACATGAACTGTTAGTTTTTGAGGGTTTTGTCCTGGGAAATCAAACCCAGGCACTAGGCATGCTAAGCATATACTCTGCCATTGATCTGCATCCCCAGCCTCTGTCAGCTGTGTTTAAGGTACCATTGGACAGTAAGAGTGATCACCATCTGAAATGGAAAAGGAGTTATCTAAAATCTGTGTGACAACGATAGCAAAGAATGACTCTTTTTATCCCTTGTCTACTTTCTCTGGGAACATAGCTTAACCTATGCTCATGCGATGCTCTGCTCTTAGGGTCATTGTTGCTGTCACATCACCTCCCCTTTGCATTTTGACCAAAGTGGTCATGTTACTGTTGTCATTAACAGGCCTACCTTTACAACAGTTTAGACTAGCACATCTGTTTGGTCAGTAGAACCTGATCTAGATGGCATCATATTTTCTTTTAAAGGTCATTGTTCTGAAGTGATCTGTAATTGACTAGTTTATAGATGGTACCATTTTAAAAATTAATTGTAGACCAGGCTCAATAGTTCATGGCACACCTGTAATTCCAGCAGCTCAGGAGGCTGAGGCAGGAGGATCGAAAGTTCAAAGCCAACCTCAGCATCTTAGGCCCTAAGCAACCCAGTGAGACCCTGTCTCTAAATAAAATACAAAATAGGGCTGGAGATATGGCTCAGTGGTTGAGCCCTGAGTTAAATCTCTGGTACCAAAAAGAAAAAAGATTGTATTTAACCAAAGCCAATGAAAAACCTGCATCAGGGTTCATATTTCAGCCCACAGTGGGCCTTTAACATGGAATCTAATTTATTGGGGAATCTAAATACAACTTTAATCATGGGGCATTTATCCTGAAGTGTGAAGGACATTATTAATTCAGAAAATTAAATTTGAGAATTAAGCCCTTTAAATTTTATGAAGGATGAAGCCCCTAAACTACAATAAGCTTGTTGGATTCTTGAGCACTCTTTTTTTATTGTTGTTGTTTGTTTATTTATTAATCCTTTGTTGTTGTTTATTTTTTAATGTGATGTTGGGGATTGAACGCAGGGAGGGCCTCATGCATACTAGGCAAGTGCTTTTACCACTATCTCCTCAACCCATTAACCACTCAATTCTTTTCTTTTTTAAAGAGAGAGAAAGAGAATTTTTTGATATTTATTTTTTAGTTTTCGGTGGAAACAACTTCTTTATTTTATTTTTATGTGGTGCTGAGGATTGAACCCAGTGCCCCGCACATGCCAGGCAAGCGCACTACCACTTGAGCCACATCCCCAGCCCAACCACTCATTCTTAATGAGAAAAATTTCTAGTTTTATATGCATGGGATTTCCATGCACCTTCCCAGTGCTGATCTCTCTTGAGATACTGAAGGCATTTTGGGTGTGTGGCTCCCAGCTCTCGGTCTGACGGGTTGTGTGTGGGCCAGAGTGGCAAGTGCACCGTGTGGTGGAGTGACTCGGTGGCCCTGGGGGGGGGGGGAGGAGGTGGGCTGTGAGTGCCAGTCGTGAACTGATAGCAAACCAGCAAGGACTCTCCTGCAGGGTGACCTGGCTGCCTTAAGGATAGGACGCCCTGCTTCAGGTGGGGGTGGCATCCTGCTGGAGCCTTTGCCAGGACCTGAGAAGAGCAGAGGTGGTGGGGCACAGAAGAGACTTGGCGGGAGCTTCTTGTATGAGCCTGCACCTGCGTGTTCAGGTGTTGGAAGACTGTTTGGCAGCAGGGAGCCTCCAGGCTCTAAAGCCTAGTCCTAGCAAGACAGGAAGCAGAGGGATTCTTAGGTCCTTGGGAAACATGGAAGTATATGCTTTTCCCCTAGAAGAATGCATGTGTGCAAAATTTGCATACCCCTTCAGAAGATTCACCCAGTCCCTGGAGCCCACCATGGAACCCTGGTTGTATGGAAAGGTATTAGTTTGGTACATAAGAAGATTCGCTCCCATGGGTTCTGTCCAAAGGCAAAAAACAGTGTGCCTTGGCAGGTGTSTTCTCTTCCCACCAACACCAGTGAGATCCAGAGATAGGGTAACACTATGAGATAGAGTATCGTGTCCCTGGGCTCCCAATTGAAGAGTTTCTTGAGAAAAACAGTGAAACCAGTGTGCAGCCAACTGTGTGGTTAGGGGAAATGACGACAGATGAATGACTTGAACCTGTGTGTTTTCTTTTAGCCACCAACAGCCAAGATGCATGCCATCATCGAGCGTACAGCCAACTTTGTGTGCAAGCAGGGAGCACAGTTTGAAATAATGCTGAAAGCCAAGCAGGCACGGAACTCGCAGTTTGATTTCCTGCGCTTTGATCACTACCTCAACCCCTACTACAAATTCATCCAGAAAGCTATGAAGGAGGGGCGGTACACAGTGCTGGCAGAGAACAAAAGTGAAGAGAAAAAGAGTACGTGACCCTGGCTGTGTCCTGTTGGACCTGGGTGTGGGGTGCCGGTGGAGGGCCAGGCTTTGGGGTCCCTGTGTTTTTCATGAACTCCTGCTGGCATACGACATGAAGCTCCCAGCTGCTGTCCTACACATGGTGACATGCAATTAAATGCTGGTAGAATCTGAAGGTGGCCACCTAGGCTGGAGCCTTCCCTCTCCTTTTGCTCAGCATTCTGTAGAGAGAAGGGTCGCTCCGTGCTTCCATCAAATCATTTTCCTGGTGTGAGTCTGCACCTCTGTTCAGAGTGTGAAGTTAAGTTGTGCACTACAAAAAATGAACGGTTCTTACTTGAAATGTATGTCTGAAGCTTTTATATTTGTAGGTGTCTCTRTTTTGAATTCTTACAAGGCCACTTGCCTCTATTTGGAGTAAAATCCAGGGGTCAGTCTGCGTCTTCCATTGAATCTTGTAATCAGATGTTTCACATCAGTTAGCACAAGTCTTCTTCCCCCCAACCCCCAGTGCTGGGAGGACTGAGCCCAGGCCTTGTGCGTGCTAGGCCGGTGCTCCACCCTGAGCCATGCCCACACCATTGTGTAAATCTTAATACAGATTTCACCTCCAATTTTGTTGTCTTTTTTTTTTTTAATTGGTGTTATTTTACTTCCCCTTTACAGTAAGATTTTGCCCCCTTTTTCCCCTCAATGATAAAAGCTCTTTCGTTGCTCCCAGACTAGTAAATRCTAGAGGGAGACATGAAGTGGCCAAGGGTCCTACTTTCTACTTCCTGTCTGGCTTCCTCTGACCAACTTGGGTGTCCATAGGGAGTATTCTCCACAGGTATTGGTAGACCGATAACCCCAAAAATGGCCAAATGTAGCTATGCCCTGTCTGCCGCTGAATTCTTGGAGGATTTTTTGGTACATTTTTCCTACCACACGCCAGAGTCTTTGTTGTCATTCTAGTTGTACTTATTTGTGCAGTGCACTATGATAACATGATGCATGTAGACGGTTACACCAGAATCTTGATTTTGATTTCAGAGTCAGGCACAAACTCTGACAATGAAGATGAGGATGATGAGGAAGATGGGAGCTACCTACACCCGTCTCTCTTCGCCTCCAAGAAGAGCAGCCGCCTGGAAGAGCTGATGAAGGTCTCTTTCTTGTTATTGAGCTATAAAATTGATGCTGGTTTAGTTTGGAAAGTATCAAGTGTGTCACTTCTAGTGTGTTGCATCTGTGTCTTCCTTGATTGCCCCTGAGTGATGTTGTATTCATTTGGGTGACAAAGCTTTCTGCATGTCTGTTTCATAAATTTAACAAGCAAATTATTTTTGTTTTTTTGTACTTTTGTCCCCTGGGATAAGAAGAATGTTGAAGAAGACTAAGCAGTAGTGTAGGTTCCATTACAGGATTGGATTTTATGGGTGTTCTGCAGATCTGCTTCTTGAAGTCCTTGGTTACCTTCATAGACGGTTTCTCAGTAAATGTTTCTGCAGCTAATCTTCCTTCATCTTACAGAGAAGCCACCAGCACTGTCTTAGGGTTCATTCATGCATCTGTCTCCCATCTGAAGTGTAAGGACACAGAAGTCTGAGATTAGGAATATGATTTTCAGCAATTGTGTTGTGTGGCCAATCCCTGGAAGGAATCATTCTTGATTGGATGATTAAAAACCAYTGGTTTAAAAATCAGAAATTTCTCTGAGGAAGGACAGTTTCAAGTTTTTTATGAGCTTCTCACACTTCCAGGAGTAGCAGTCCAGTCCTGACACACCCTCCTTTGCTTAGTGGGCATTATGGAGAGAGGCCACRTGCTCTCTCAGTTCCTCTGGGACTCACAACCAGCTGGAGCACAAGGCCACAATTCACCAGGACCTCCTGTATGTRTGCCCAGGGAGGGGTTCAGGACCCAGCAGAAGATTGCCTGGAGTCTGTGGGCTCTGACAGATGGCTGCACATTCAGGAGGTCAAAGGAAGACAGGGTTTTCAGAGCCGTATAGCACCTAGTTGCAAGGATCACGAAGAGGATGCCAGCACTGGAGAGACGGGCAGTTGCCAGGCCCACCTCCCACAGAAGCTTCTACAGAGCTATGGTTCTGGAGGCCTGTGCCACCATTCCTGTCCTTCATGCTCCCAGTTTTGCATCACTTGGGGCCTGGTATGACCTCCCCTGGGCATTGTTAGCATTCTCTGTGTGTGTGCCTATCCAAATGCATGCACGTGCATTGAGGTTGCTCTAAGGTGTACACACTATTGTAACAAAAGTGGAGCTGAACCTTTTTTTTAACGGGATAGTTTGTTGTGGCTCAGAACACAGAAAATGCTAAAACCGTGTCTTCTCTGTTCCTAGCCCTTGAAGGTGGTGGACCCGGATCACCCCCTGGCAGCCCTGGTYCGTAAAGCACAGGCTGACAGCTCTGCCCCAACCCCAGCTGCAGACGGGGCGCCTGTGCAGCCCTCCCAGGTGGAGTACACGGCAGACTGTGAGTACTCACTGTGCGTTCTGACCTGCATCCAGCTGCAAGGCCCAGCCCCAACCACTGTCCTCATGTCCAACCCCGGGTGTGTTGCCCTGAGAGAGGTGCCCGAAGGGCAGGACGGCTACTGTGCCCTGTACCAGCTCAGATTCCAGCAGGGACAGAAAACAGCAACTTGTCCTACCCCTCTGAAGTCCCTCCCAGAAGCCACACTGTGACTTCTGTGCCCCTTAATTGACTAAAGCAGTGTCCCATGGTCTCCCACCTAGAGCACAAGCCAGAAAATGGGGCCTGCAGTCGGCCACAGCGCTGCCCCAGTCAGATCTCTGCTAAGAGAAGCAGATGCAGGTGCTGGGTGGACATAGTGTTACCTGCCCTGTGGATGGTGTCGTGAGACTGTTGGCACTGACGGCCAGGATTGGGTGGACATATAATTCTGTTAAGAGTGGGAGGCAGGTTGTCTGCCATGGTTGCTTTCTTTAACAAGACATGGCGTAAGGTAGTATGGATGGTCATCCTGCAGCATACCTGCAGAGTATGGGGCTCAGGACCCTGGCAGTCACCAGAATCCAAGCATGCTCAAGTCCCTCCTGCAGACTTTATGACCATCTGCAGAGGACTTAGGAAACCTAACAACACAGGTGCTGGGTCAGCAGTTGTTACACTGTATTGTACAGGAAGTAATGAGAAGAAAAAGGTTTGCAGTTTTCAGTGCAGACACAATGTTGTTTTCCCTGAATATTTTCAAACTGAGGTTGGTTGAGCTGTGCACCAGAAGCCTGATGGCACAGGGAGCCAGCTGCGTCATCACACAGCACAGCACATCACAGAATAGCCAGCCGGTCTTCCTCCTCTCTTCTTTTTCCTTTCCTTATTTCCTGGTGCTGGGGATGGAACCCAGGACTGTATGCATTCGAGGCCAGTGCCTCACCACTGGGCTGTACTCTAACCCTACATTGCTTTCTTCTCTGGTTCTTGCTGATTGCCTTCGTCTTTTTAATTATTTGGAGATTATTGATTCAGGGGTCATTTGAGTGTTTTGGCCCTGGTCTCTGTGCCAAGTCTTGGGGTAGTTAATCTGTTCCAAGGCTGAGGGGGCCTGAGGATGTGCAGCAGAGAGGAATTGGCCTGCCCARTGCCTCCTGCAGGCCCGTGTGCTGAGTACACCTGGGAAGTGACACTGGGTCAGCCCGCCGGCTTCTGAAACGCACACTGCTGTTTATCTGAGCCAGCTCTGGCGGTTGCCAGGCACCGCCCTCTCGCACCTTCCTCTCAGCTCTGGACTGCTGATGTGCCATTTCACTGTGCTAACTCCACATTCGCAGGCTATAAAAATTAGTCACTTCCCTGAACTTTGTGCACATGTCCCCAGAAAACCTCTGATATTCAAGAATCAAGCAATTTCCTTAAGTGATCAAATCAAGTCAAATCAAGATTTGTGAGTGCTGCAGTCAGATCTCGCGTGGCAGAGATGCATTTTGCTTTAGGTCCTGCRTCAGCTCCTGGTGTCAGCATCAGAAGGCAGTTGTCCCCAGTCCTCATGATGCCTGTCTCTGACAGGCACCCTGTGTGTGGCCTGTCCTTAAGCCCTGAGCTCCATGTGGCCTCACGWAAAGTCTGCACAACTGGAAGCAGCAGAGGCTCTGTACAGTCCCCATGCATGCCACAAGGGCACCCTCACCCTCTCCCTTTCAGGCCTGCCTTGAGTCTGCCCATGTGGAGGACAGCGTCCAGGCATGTCCACAGCACCCCTGCACGTCACTGCACTGCTCTGCAGGACAGCAGTAGGAATTGGGGATTTGGGATGCTGCCCACCACTAGTGGACAGACAGTCGGGGTGCAGTGTGTGCACAGCCCTGTAGCACSGGGCAGGATGGTGGAGCAGGCTGAGAGTGGCTACGGTGTGACACAGCAGCCCACACGTGGTGGAGGTGGTGGCCCAAGCCCAGCCATGGCAGTATGGGACATTAGCCAGTTGGGCAGACTTCAGGCAATACCTGGCAGGGCTCCCAGGGCTGGCCTGCAGGAGTTGACTYCTGCCTCCTGATCCTGCAGTGTGCACAGTCCTTGATTCAAAGTCCTCCCTTTTTTTACACAGTGAGAGTGATGAACACCTGGAAGAATAGGGCAGGGAGTTGTCTGGAGTTTTGTGAGGGCATGCAGCTCTGACCTAGGTTTATAGTTGCAGACAAGCTCCTGCTTCCGCTCCGCTATCAGCCTGGCACTGAGAGTCCCTTCAGAGAGTGACAGCCTTCCAGGCCACCACCACACCGGCCTATCCAGGATCCAAGGAAGTCATAACCTGGGAGAGGTGGCCTGGTTCCAGTTTCCTAGGAGAACTTGGAGCTGGAACTTGGGATCTGAATCCCAATGAAACCTGCCAGAATTCCCAAAACTCCTGATTTGGGGTTCCCAGCATCAGGAGTCTCTGTGGGTCAAGGGCTCTGCCTTATGCTGACCTGGAGGCCRTAGCACCCTGGCATGCGGCCCAACAATACCTACCTTCCCTCCCTGTCTGGCTTCGCTGGGTGCCTGCTCACCTCTGCCAGCTTGGTGCTGTTTCTCACTGTCCTCTGAAATGTCTCATCTCTGAGTCGTCGAAGTCCCTGCATCTCTGGTTTTGCGTCAAGTAGCTCAGGGATCTGAAGCTCTCTTGGTGGCGCGTTGTTGACGGGGCAGCTGTGTCTGCCGAGTCAGTCAGGCTTGGGTGCCTGCAGTCTGACTGACAGCTGTGTGTGAGGCTGCTGTCTTGTGACCAGCCACTGAGAAGGCCTGACTTGTCACAGTTGTTCCAGGGGAGGAACACCAATCCTGGTTTTCAGTTTTAGTCTCTTGCACTAAGGAGTTTAGGGTTGAATGAGTGCTGACAGTGACGACCCACTGTGTTGGAGATGGTCGACAGGAGAGAAGCACGTGGAAATGCCAACTGGCTCACAGCTGCCCCTGAGAGATGGCACCCACCTTGAATTTCTTCCTTGCATACTTTTTTTCTCCAAATCGTCAGGAGTGTGCATTGCTATTGTGCTTTCAGAGATTCGTGGGCTGATCAGTGTCTGGAAGGCTCTGTGTGAGGACCTGCAGCTCCTCCTCCCTGGCCAGGATAGCGTTGTGCTGCCTCAGGAAGGCCCTGAGCTGAGCCTGGTGGGCCTCGAGGCAGAGCGTGCTGGGTGTGGCTGTCGGCCATGACTGCTGGGGCTATGCTGGGTCAGCTTCCAGAAGGATCCTCCTGCCAGGGACACACTTTGCTTTTCCCCTTCTTCCTCTGCCTCAGCCTGTTCCTGGTTGTGTTCCCATGGGTTTTCACACAAGGTCTGTGACTCTGGGGTCYCCAGCATATTGTCTTTCTGTCCCTTGTACCAGGGGCGGGATAACATTCTCAGGCATTAGGTGGCTTTTTGAAGAGAGCTTCGTTTGTAGACTTTTCACTTGAGAAATTATTAGAAAAGCTATAATGAAAATTACTGAAGTTTCACTTTTTGAGGGGCCCTTACCTGGGCCAGAGCTGTGGACATGCGGAGTCTGGAGAGAGGGCCGTTGGCTCTGGCTGGCGGGAAAGGGCTGAATCTGCACCCAACACCTGACCACATGTCCCAGTAACAGAGAAGCCGTGTGCCGGTGGGAGTGTGACTTGCGGAAGGCACGGCCCGTAGTGGAAGTGGGGTTCTGTGGCCTGTCCTGCAGCCACAGCTATGGGAAATCCTCCTTGGGCTGGGGAGGTGACGTCTGTCGTCACGTTCCTACAGGTATTCCTACAGGTATACCTGCTGTACATCTCTTTGTTTTTACTTCTGACCTTGGAGGAGAGTAGGCTGAGAAATGTTGCTAGTCTCAGCCTTGCATCCAACTTCAAGACAGTGGTGGCTTTGTGGGCGTGGGAGTGGTTCGTTGTGCTAGAGCCACTCTGACAGGCCCAGGCCAGGGAAGGTGGCGCTTGAGCCTTCAGACATTTCTATGAGCACTGCCCCCATGGTGCCCATGGGAAGCCAGCCTCACCAGCTGTGGCTGTGGGGAAACCTGTGACAATGTGTGCAGCAGAGCCATGAGGAGACAGGCTGCCCATGGCACAGTGGTATCGGTGGTCTCAGTCTTGACGGGTGGCGGAACAGGCAGGGGTGGTCCTGAGTCATACCTTCCCCCAGGCGTGGCTTCAGGCCCTAGGTGTGGAGTTTGGCAGATTGCAAGACGCTAGTGCGCACACCTGGTTTTTGCTGTGGTCTATAGCATTACTAACTTTGGGTAACTATGGCGTGGGGAGCCACAGTGAATGACCTCACCTTCCAGTCCTGGCGCCTCAGATTCTGACCAACCACTGCATTCACTGTGGCTTAGGTGGGGTCTAGCTCGGATAGCAAAGGTCTTCTTTGTGGGGCGTGCCCCCTAGGGCTGAGTTACACTCACCTGTCCCTTGTAGTCCTGCCCCTTCTGCCCTTTTTTGAGTAGAACTTTCTAAGAACAGGAGTCCCCCCAATAAAAGAACACTTCCCAACGTGCTCTCTCACCAGCCTCTCGTGACTTTCTCTTGCTCTCCCTTTTGGGGATCCTGAGGCTGAGAGTGGGGAAGCCGTCCTGAAGCTTGTRTAAAGGTAAATTATGTCTGTGTTTTATTTGGTTTCCCTGCAGATTCACATGAACAATCTTAAGTTCAGCTGCCCACTRGTTGGGGTGGCATTTTAGTAAGAGAACAATGAACTTGATTGTCTAGCGGACTAAGACCTAACCCAAGGGTGCTCTAGAATGAAAAGGACTAGGATCAGTGAGGCTGTGGGGGGTCAGAATCATGGCCACCACCTCAGTCTTTTCCTTACTAAGCTGGTTCAGTGTATGTTACATGGGTGCATTGAGCAGTTGTGTGTCAGTCTTTCTGTGCATGTGTGGATCCCCCCACAGACACTAAGCTTTTCAAGGATGAAGACCACATCTGACCTGCTGGTCAGGGTGTCCCCTCGCCTCCTTCCACAGGGACACGGGTTCTCAGGAGTGTTTACTCTAATGAGTGTCTTTAGGAA